GTCACCTATTTCGCGGGACCACCTTTCTAGCACCTCTGCGTAAATTTTGTCTCGGATGATCAACAACGTTATGCCCCTATAAGTCGAGCACTCCTTGTGGTCTCTCTTTTTCAATAGAGGTGCAATAACTCCTGTTCTCCAGTCCGCTTATGTCTTTCCAGCAGTCATCGACGTCTTACAGACTCATATAAGCGAGCCTTCTTCGCATAATGCCTAAAATATCGTGGCGAATTTCACTAATTCCTGTTAGCTTTCCATTTTTCAAACTTTTTCAGAACTTGTATAATTTCGTTTACAGAGATAGTTATATCCGTTCCCTCCTGCTCTATATGCGAGTCTTCCTGCGGTTGCTCCAGATATAGGAGTTTCTCAAAGTACTCTTTCAATCGCCAATGGATGTCTTATCCTGGGTAAAAGGGTATCCAGACCTGTCCTTCCAGACTCATAGACTGTCTTTCTTTTCATCGTAGAGCCGCAGCCGGTCTGCCAGAACACTTTGTTTTCCGTGTGAAAATTCGACTGCAACAACTTGCCGATCTTCTCCCAGGAATCAGCTTTAGTTTTCGCCATTGTTATCGCTGCCTCCTTCCATTCTATGATATATTGCATGCAGTAGAAGGCCCGTCGTTTCCAAACTATTTCTCGAATGCAGCCTTCTCTTTAAATACGAGGTGTACCTCTGTTGTCCACCAGGGAGCTTTTCTCTGTCCTCCAGGTGGCAGTTCAATCCGTTTAAATCTGCAGCATTCGGCAGCAGCCTCGAATATGTCGCCCTTAAACTGGAGCCACTGGCTTTCCACATCAGTTATCAGCATCGGGATCTGTTCAAACCGTCGTGCGATGTTGTTTGCAAATTTCGCTCTCGTGTCCACCTACAATAATGTATCCATTTGATTCTCTGGTTTCTTCCGCCTAAATCTTCGCATGGTACTCTGTTTCTTATAGCGTTGCATGCCAACAACTAGGTAGTGGTCGGTTGATGGCTCTGCTCCTCTCTTAACGCGAACATCCATTACTGAGCGTCTTAAGACAGGCGATAGGATTATCAAATTGATAATCGACTTCTGTGCACAGGTTCTCCGGTACAAGGTATACTTATGCACTATTCGATGCTCGGTGAAGATGCTGATAATGGACAATTCGCTGTTTGCACAAAACCGCAGCAACTTAATACCGGTATTGTTGATTTGACTATAGCCGTTTTTTCAATTCACGACGTTCTACCATTCAGCTTCCACTCTGACATGGGCATCATAATTGCTCATGAGTACGAGGAACCCTGTAATCCGCATTTAAGTAGAGTATTCCGTCCTTGCTTAAGGAAGGAATGACATTCTCCCTGCAAACTGGGCGCATACACGTGTAGCAAGCTCAACGCTTTAACCTATTGTAGCTTCACTTGGATAATTTGGTCTCTCTTCGGCTGATAAACTTCAATGCAATGATTCTGTCGGCCTCTTTGGGTTCGTTTGCCTATATGTCGACATCTGAGTAAAATAGCTTCTACCCGCGGAGGTTCAGGATTCAAGAGCCTTGGCGTTTCGTTGAGAGAGTCCAATAATTTCGAATTAATACTTTACGGCCTTATCGTCTATTCCCTGTTCTTTCGCTTTGAGTGAGGATATATTTCAACGTCCGAATGTATGTTTCCACTGCATTCGTGGAGTCTTTTCTGACGTGCTATAGTGGCATCGCGCGGTTTGCCGCCTCGTTTCTGAACGAGTAATGAATCGGCTTCCAACTGGTATTTTTATCGTTGTTCCGTCGGCGTTGTTTATTGGTTGTTGTGCTGCTACGCCCTCAGTTGGGAGAGGACGTTCAGCAGGTTCTGATCGCCGATATTTCGCAGTCTGTCCTGAGTTCCCTTAGCTACTCTAGAGACGACTGCTCCGGTATAATTTTTGATGGCGTCATTGCCATGAGTGGCCGGTGGAAAACCTTTACGGATGCTTCGCCACGGTCTGCGATCCTCCACTTTTCTCAACCTGGCTTGGGACCAGATATGACAAAGCTTCATTAATTTGAATCAAAATTATAGTGCCGAATTAAACTACCAATAAATACAATTTTTCAAGATTACAATGTCAAAGTTTAAGTTGAATAGAACATAAAATTGAATATTAAAATTGATGAATAATTGCAACAGAATATCGGTCTTTATACTACGGAGTTGTATTTTTAAATAATTTTAACTCCTTTAATCCTTTTTCACATAACTTGCAGATTTTATTACAGTGCCGTGCAACAAACGTTATTGCCGCGCAGATAGAATGAGATGATGGCTTCGATTGGAATTAAATAGATCTGAGTTTACTACGTTTCAGTAAAAGGTGTGCCTGTAGTGCAGAATTGTGTTGTTTGTTATTAAATATTCTAAGGCATCTTTCAGAAGTAAATACTAAAGATCATTTTCAGTTGCATTGTAGAATTCGTTATAGGTTTGTGAAATGTATTTTAAGATAATGGTTTATGTATTTGGATACCGATTCTCCTTCAAATTAACTGCAAAGATTTTTATTTCTATGCCTTCTGTTATGAACTACAGAATTAAAAAACTGTCTATATTCACAAATAAAATGCTGTGAACCTCCTGGTTCCTCCTGTTTCGAGTTTCTATGCAGTAGCATCCCGAACAGCCATTTGTCAGTTCCTGAACTGAGCAAGTCGAAATTATAAATAATTTCAGTTTTCGGTCACTTTCAGATTGACAGTACATGTTTATTAAATTAGCAAAATTTGCAAAGAGTTTGCTCGAAAGCCCACAGCAGCCTGTATTCGCGTAACAGTATTCATATTGTCGCAATATAAGGTAATTACAATAGGATGTGCCGACAGTTAACTTTAGCAGTGGGAATGAGAATGCTTCTGTAAATGTGGCGTGCTAGTACTTTAGAAAATGGGTATATTAATTCTGCATGCATTTAAACGGGATTATCCAATTCTGCGAAAGCATCAAATTGGATATAGGATATCAATTTTGCACTAATTGGACAAGCATTATTAAATTCCGATACCGAGAGACCATTTAGCCGACCGTATGGGACAAATGCGCCTCTTGACTCTGAACGTCACAGCAGCTGCCAAGTTCATAAGGAACTAGTAAAGTCAACCCGAATCGCTCTGAAGAAGGTCTGTGAATGAGGAGCCGGAACGACGTTGTCGGTCATCACCCAGTTAACGAGTTTGCTTGCGTTATTCATAAATTAGCCGCTTTTATACATTTTTCAGTTTTCTTCAGTATAAGGGCAAAGGCAAAATATGTTGAGGACATGTTATGAGATCTAAAGTTAAAAACGTACAATATATACTTGGCAATTAAGAGGGCGGAGATGAAGATGATCAGAAACATGTTTGTTTAAACTAGCTACGGTGATCATCAGTGACTAGTAATAGAAGTCACGGCTACCTAGACGTCTAATTTTCTAGGACACAAACTTCTTTGATCTAGAGCTTGCTACAAGTGATCATGCAACATTGAAAACGTACCTAAGAAAAGTTGACATTCGTAAAATCGGAATATTATAGTTTGCGGTTGGAATCACCCTAACGAAAAACAGCATCAGCGCTAAGAGTGCAGCTGGGGGTCTGTTGAACGAAGGTCGGTAAAAGTTTCTGTCAGCGTCAAGCTGCGTAATGAATAAATAAAGAGACGCTACGGGATTTGGGTTGTTGTACTAGTTTGGAAAGACAGAAAATAATAATGTGCAGGTCTCATCGCACATGTGACCGATGGACTTCAGAAGTGTCGGGTTAGTAGCACAGTGCCACTGCAAGCGCTTAATTGGAAACTTTTGGCTTAGACGGAACGATGAAGTAACAGCACGATATGGAAGCTTGTGGTGACAGATCGTACAGACATGTGGCCATAAAAATTACTACCGTGATTGATTCCCGTTAATTATAAAAATGATCAGTGTTCGTTTTAAACAAATTGTTCCGTCTAACGGCCATATTCGCTTGTAAAGATATCATGTTGACGAGTTGGTCGGTTCTGCAGTTTGGCAACACCTTTTGAGTGGCCAACTTTAGTCAGAGCGTTTCCGGAAGTTAATTACAAGCTACCAGCTACTCCATGTTAGAAAAACGCCAAATATTTAAAATTTGTGCAAATTTTGCTTTTTCACCGTGCACTTAATGCAGGAAAACAGTCTAGATTTTTACACACCTTCAGCAGATGAGCAATGGCATTTCATTCGACATTCGGTGCTTTGCTCGTCGCAGCAATAGGTACTGCTTGCCCAACTGGCCGGCCGAACAGTAGGCTGGTGTATGGAAGGATTCTGCTCCAGGTTCGGATTATTTTCTGCTGATGTTCAAACGCTGACACGGATCGGAAACGTTGGACGCACTGTCTTATGGGTCTGTCTCCGCTACCCGAAAGAATAAGCTGTCCTCGAACTCACACACTGACCGATCATCACTGCTGCGTATATTTTATGAAAGCTTATCTATAACTTTTAATGAGTGGCACAGCGTTCCTTTCTTTCAGACTATAAGCTTCCGTAATTTCAAATATTTCAAGCGTTTTTTATTGTCAGGTTACTGCACTGTGACGTTTTTCAAAGCACCATGGAAGTGCAGTATCCTTTCGAATACCTCCACCTGGAAATGGTATCTTCCCTCTGCCAAATGACGTCTGAGTCCACCACCGACTCTGCAATTAAGGTATTTGTATTTGGATTTATACTTGATGATATTTGTAGTCATTGGCGAATCTGTTTTTCATTGTGATGGTTGTCGTTCTAGATTGAGCAGAGATATAGGGATGAAAATAAGCTGATAAACCTCAACACCTTTCATGATAATTCTTGTTTGGGTTGACTTCTGGTTATTATCTTTATTTTCGTTCTTCGCCAGATTGCATTTCCAACCAAATGTTTTGTTGCTTTCTTTATGTTCTTCTTTTATACCCCATCTATGATGTCGCCAACAAAATTGTGCTTCGTATACTTTTCGTGGACTCAGTGTTTTATTGTATGTTTTGTATGTATTTAAAAAAACGACCCTGGTCATTCCATTTCTAAGCTGTCAACTGCTGTATTTCCTGTTCTTTGAGCAACCGGCGGAGACCCTGTAGCTGACATTTCCTTTAGAGTTTAACGAGGCTCACATGATGATAGCCTTTCTGTGATTCATAAAATACAAGTATGGGAGTTGATCGAAATGTTCCAAGGTTTTCTACATGATTTACAGCAGTATTTATGGGAGATTCATCCGTCATACCGAATCATGGCCACATATAATTCACCCCTGACTCCACGAAGGGATGAGGATCACTATTTTTGCTTTGATAGCAAATGACCGCATGAACTGTAATTTTTCTAGGTCGGCGCCCTGACCAAACTCGAAAGGATCGGATACCGCGTCGGAATGGCGTTGTGCGAAAGGTAAACAACTCGTTGTTATAAATTGTCTGATTTTTATTTTTTGCTTAGTTTGTTGCGGGAGCATCAACGTCTTATGAGCGAGGTAGAAGTTATGAAATTCATCTGCAAGGAGTTCTGGGAGACGATCTTCCTTAAGCAGGTTGACAGTCTGAAAACCGATCACCAGGTTAGAAAATATTTTCATGAAAACAATTTTTTGTGTGGACTTTGACTTTCAAACTTTTGTACGTTCACCTTATTTTAGCCTTTGTCACTAGCGGGTGTTTCAGTATTGATCATCTGGGGGGGGCTTGTTTTAATCCTAAGCAGTTTCTCGCACTTGAATATTACTATCGTCTGGCTGGCTGGGTGCTCTGATAGCAGTGGTTTTTAGTACTGATGTTTTGGTTAATATTATGATATATTTCTTGTGAAGAACACACATAAGGACTAATACTAATGTGTAATGGAATTGTTATGGCAAAGTTTCTCATGATAATTTATACAATATACAGAATATAGTCAAAGCTGATCATTTCTTGAGGTTGACCATCGTCAGAACTGCATCATCATCGTCGTTTTGAGCAAATCCTTGATCGTAATCATAAAATTTTTATTTTTCATATTCCCTCATACAGAAGAAAATTTGCGAGCAGTCAAGAGCTAATTACGGCCAGGCAACTGCGGCCTGCTACGGATTTGTTATAACCATAATTTTTCACACTGTTCTTGACTGTACCCGAGACAAAAGTATTCTGATCCTTGTTTAACAGCCTGATTGATACTCCTAATTGAATACAGTAACCAAGTTTTGGCTTTTTCATATTTTCCCCACTTATTCTTTGCACGTTTTAGTCCAACGCAGCAGCAACGTCAATTATTTTAAGTGCAGTTGCTTGTTAATGATCTATGCGACGCTGCTGGGTCGCTTCAGTTACTTTAGCTTAGCCAAATGATACAGCCTGCGAGAGTATGTTGGATAGACTTCGTTTTACTGTTACACATCCTGCATTTTTCTGAGATATGTTCCTTCATGATGAATTTCCTATAGTTTTTTGTCAGCATCACTAGATCTTGTATTACCAGTTCAAAACCTTCAGTTGGCGCCAATCGGCCTCCCTCTTTAGGCCATCAAGCAATTTTTCCAGCTCGATTCCAGCATTCGTTAGGGAGCAGAGTAACGCCCATAAACAGCAAACCGCCGCGTTCTTACTTTATTCATCAAATTTAGATGTTACACGTATCTTCAAAGCCTCGTAATCGTTTTCACACAGCTTTAGCTTTGTTATTTGCCAGCTTCTACTCTGACTTTGTGTAAAGGTGAATCTTCCATCAGAAAATGTGCCCTACGTGTTTTTTATTAAAGGGATCAGCAGGCCGGATCCTCCGTGCCTCATTATCATTGTC